GATACAGACATTGAGGCTTTCAACAAGCGGTGCGCGAAAAAAACAATGGGGGTCATGCGTCGATGGTGAGTATTACGGCGTGCTGTGCTTTGCTGATAACTTCTGGCCCCTAGGCACATCCTGCGACATGTTGCAGAAGATGGCGCGGGCCTTCCTGGCAAGACTGCGGGGGGCTGGGTGGGCTGTGCCAGTGGCAGATTGTACGTGGTGCACGACGGCTTCAGACGATATCCCCATGCAGATCACCATAGATGGCAAGGTCGTGACCCGCGCTGGGAGGAGCGAGGGTTTTCAGATGCTGGGCGCAAACTTCACCATGGACAATTCGTTCGAGAAGGAGCTCGGCCAACGCGTGACCAAGGCGCGGGCGCGCTTCAATAACTACCGCGGCCTCTTCACGCACAAGCGGAGCTCTTCGAGGCGAAAGTTGCAGTTCCTCGACATGACCGCCAAGGCGACTTTACTATGGGGGTCTGGGGCTCGGAATCTAACTGCCCGCCAGGAGCGGCATATATCTGGAACGCAGCGGCGCGCGATCAGAGCAATCTTGCGCATTGACAATTTCCCCGGCGAAGAAGTTAGCGAATACTGCGAACGCTGTGAGAAGTTGGTCTCTAGAACAATGGGGCCATATGAGGTTGAACCGCGGGTGGCGTCTTGGCGCAGGACGCAATTTGAATGGGCAGGCAAGCTGGCCAGACAGGGCGCTTTGGACATCCAGCGAATCACCTACAAAATCTTCCACTGGAGGTCGATGTTCCACTTGCGCGACTTTGCGGTGAAGCGCTCCGGCTGGCAAGGGCATCCACGACGGTTCCGGGCATGGAGGTGGGAGACAGAAATTTTGATTTTTTTCAGCCAACGGGGATTATCATGGACAGACGCGGCGTTCATCAGTGAGTCCTACCAGGCGCATCTTGAAACGTATCTCACCTGGCGCAACCTACCGATTTCTGAGCGATGAGGTGACGCGCGGCGTGTCCAACGCGGACCTGCGAACGCCGTCCCATCCCATCCAATCCAATCCCATCCTCCTCCTCCATCTCCTCCTCCTCCTCCTCCTCCTCCTCCTCCTCCTCCCCTCCTCCTCCCCCTCTCCCTCGTCCCTCCCCCTCCTCCTCCTCCTCCTCCTCCTCCTCCTCCTCCTCCTCTTCCTCCTCCTCCTCCTCCTCCTCCTCCTCCTCCTCCTCCTCCTCCTCCTCGTCTCGCCCCCCCTTCATCCTCGTGCTTCTCCTCCGGCAAAGGCGGCTCTAGGGGAAGGCCTATCCCTAGGGGCTACCCCTAGGGCTGCCTTAGCGCTATCCCTAGGGCCTACCCCTAGGGCTACCCTAGGCCTACCCCTAGGGCCTACCCCTATGGCTACCCTAGGCTTACCCCTGGGGCCTACCCCTAGGGCTACTCTAGACCTACCCCTAGGGCCTCCTGCTAGGGTTACCCCAGGGCTATCCCTAGGGCTTACCAGGTAGCCCTGGGGGTAGGCCCTGGGGGTAGCCCTAGGGTGGCCCTGGGGGCAGGCCCTAAGGGCAGCCCTAGGGTAGCCCTAGGGGTAGGCCCTATGGGTAGGCCTAGGGTAGCCCTAGGGTAGGCCTTGGGTAGCCCTAGGGTAGGTAGGCCCTAGGGGTAGCCCTAGGGGTAGGCCCTAGGGATAGGCCTGGAGTAGCCCTAGGGTGGGCCCTAGGGGTAGCCCTAGGGTAGCCCTAGGGGTAGGCCCTGGGGGTAGCCCTAGGGGTAACCCTAGGGTAGCCTTAGGGGTAGGCCTTAGGAGTAGGCCTAGGGTGGCCCTAGGGGTAGGCCCTAGGGGTAGCCATAGGGGTAGCCATAGGGTAACCCCAGGGGTAGGCCTTAAGGGTAGCCTTAGGGGTAGGCCCTACGGGTAACCCTAGGGTACCCCTAGGGGTGGGCCCTAGGGGTAGGCCTAGGGTCGCCCTTCCTTGGGTGATGTATATGCAGCCCCGGAAACAGGGCCCCAGCCAGATAGCCCATTACCAGAGGCATGCCATGGCATTGGTACTACAGGTGCAGGTGTTGATCTACTGCAGAACAGGACAGCATCTACAGCAGTCAAATCACGCGAACCGCTTGTAGTATTTTTCAATGCGCGCACCATCAATATGATCCAGTCACGGAAGAAATTGGAAAGTGCCAGAAACCGGACATCCCCTCGATAATCGGGAGGAGTACGGCTTGCGAGACAAGGCGAATGGGGAAATTGGACGAAGTTCAATTCAGCAGTACCCATATATCCTACAGATCCACAGAAGTTCTTGGATGAAGGATATCGCGCGGTCCAGACACACTGGATTGATATAGATGGGAACGAGCATTTTCGCAGAGCAGGTGGGCAACCGGCTTCGCGAGGAGATTCAGAATAGTCACTAGGCGCTATGTGATCTTGAAGGTTTAAGGTTGATTATATCTTGTGTTGCAAGGGCGAACAAGATTCTGAAGTGCGCTGGCATGGCTTCTCGAATACTTCCAAGGACAAGATCCCGATCGCCCTGCGTTACTCGTGCCACCACCAGATGGATTGGAAGGAGTCCGGGAGGGCGGAGCAGTTTTCGCCCGCATGCCCGGGTGGAGGCTCATGGAAAAATACGGCAGTCTTTCAAGGCACATGGGGTGTCAGAGCATCGCATCGCGTCAGCTCTCTTCAACATATCAAATAACCAAAGTGAGGCCACGTGCATGGTAGACACCCGCGTAGATGACATCTTGTGGGCCGTGGACAACCGTGACCAAGGGATTATCCGCAAGGGCTTCGCCCCCTGCCGCCGGCCCCCTCTCTCGGAGAATGGGCCATGGAAGAGCTAAGGCATGAGGCCTTGGCGCTGTCGTGAAGCAGCATCGAAACTTCATGCGAAGCCGAGACGCAATCAGCAAAACCAACTGATCACAAGAGGGGTTACCACACCTGGCGATTGGTAAGACGTGTATGGTTTAAGGGCTTGGTTACTTCACCTTGCGATTAAAGGGCCGAGGGAGTTCTCGCAGTTTGGGTTACCACGCCTTGCGATGGATGTGCGCGATGGGTTCGAATTCCAGAAATGTGGCAAATCCTTTGTGTTTTTTGGACCCCGACCCCGCGGATCTGCGTGAGGGGCGGCACCGAATATCAGAAATGTTGCAAATCCTCTGTGTTTTTGGGACCCTGACCCCGCGGATCTGCGTGATGGGGTGGTATCGAATTTCAGAAATGCGCAAATCCCATGTGTTTTTGGACCCTGACCCCGCGGATCTGCGTGAGGGGATGTGTTTTTGGACCCTGACCCCGCCGATCTGCGGGAGGGGTGGCACCGAATTTCAGAAATGTGGCAAATCCCCCGTGTTTTTGGACCCTGACCCCGCGGATTTGCGTGAGGGGTGTCGATTTCGAGCCCCCCCCCAACAATTCAGACAACGCGCCCAGGTGAGGCTAAAAATCATGTTTGGGCCTCCCCCCCCCCTCGCGCGGTCAATCAACTAGTTACAGTAACCAGCAAGAAGTCAACTAGTTACAGTAACCAGCAAGAAGCAGAACTGTAACACTGGAAACTACAACCTACGACTGGTACAGGAAACTGCGAATCACGTGCCTCGCAGCCTGGTGGCCCCACAAGGGGGCCGGCGGATTGCTTCAATATTGGCGAAGCTCGATACGCGAGAAGTTGAATCATGAGGTTTCCGCTGTTGTGGATGAGGCGTTGTCCAAGATACGGATTTTACGGTTCACGTCAGTGTGCGGGATCGCATTGAGAAGATTGAGGTTGTTTACGACCCTAGTGATAGCCCGTTGTTTGCCCAGGAGTTGTATCGACGGATATGTACAATTCAGGTCAGTCGTTGGAGCTCCATCGCGGTTTACCCGACAATGCAAGCCAGAACTACTATCGCGTGCTCCAGACTGCGGTGAACCGCGCAAGGGTGTTTCATCTGGAAGAAGCAAATCGTGTTTTGGAAGAGGTATTGTATTTTTCAGACAGTGGACTTGTTCTTTTGCTAGGGAGGCGCAGGGAAGGTGGACGCGGGCATGATAGCTCTTGCAGTTGCCGACGCCAGCTGGGCAGGAGAGACCGACAGCGTTAACGGTCAGTTTGGGCCACTCTAGATTCAATGGTTTGGCCGGGCCCGGGCTTGTCGAGGGGAACAGTGATCAGCATTGATCAGGTTCACTTTATATGTCGGTCGAGTATGGTCATCAGGCGCGCATGTAAATCAATCGTTTTGGCGGAGACTTTGGCATGCTTGTGGGGTGTAGATTCAGGTGCGCGCATCCGTGCTGCCGTCGCTGGCGCTCGTGGCCTGCTTAGCACTGGGCACAAGCTTCCTTCCGACTGGGAAGAAATATCTGCTATAATTATGATGCATCTGTGGATGACAGATTGCAACAGCCTGGGAGAGCAATCGAATACGCCAGCGATGGGTGAAGTGGAAGACACTTGCTTGATCATTCATCTGGGTAGTGTACGCCAAGATATACGGACCCGTGGACAAGAGGAAATTGAGATTATACATCCTAGATTTTCTGCTACTGAATACGATGGATCGACACGAGCAGTATGACAGCGGATTGTCATATGGAGGCTATGCCTGGTGATATCTTCGTGAACGTATTACGTACTGGAACCTATGATGGAACACCGGACCTGGAGGCGACGGTTAAGAAAGCAAAGAAGCAGCTGGCAAGGTCCAGGCTGACTTCCACTACGCCGGATAAGTAATATCCGCAATGAGTACTGTCTTGACATAGGGAAGTGATGACTTTGAGTGAGCGCCATCCTGTCTAGGAAGTGGTACTGGGCCGATAGGCCGCCTTTTGACGTGTTCCCTCGGTGGGGCGCTTTTGTTGCCTCCTGCTGCCCGCTGGCGGCCTGCGAGCTTGTGGGCGCGATGCGCCGCGCCTAGCTGGTCAGCCCGTGACGAAGTTTCACGGGCGTGGTGATATAATGTGTGCGCATGACACGCACGTGCGCAATTGCTGCCGTTTGACCCTCAAGGGGCTTTTTTTCCGAAGGCACAATAAGCATCATACATCACATCCGTCTTCTCCTGTGTGCGTCCCCCCCCCTCCCCGCCTCCCCCCATCCTCCTCATCCGCCCTCTGTGAAATCTGCCCCGCCCGAGCCCACAGTTGTGTCACCCGCGCTGCAGCGGCGGCGCGTAGGAATTAGAGTTGGGCCCCGCGGGCGGGCGTGGCATCGCATAGTGCACAATGGCCATCCTGCCATCCTGCCCCGCCTTTTCCCGCAATCATGTCCTCATCCTCGTCCCAGGTCCTCCTGCCATCATCCTGACGTCCTGTTTTTTCCGAGCGTCCGTTTGCCATTCTGCATTGCCTCCTCGTCGCCACGCGGGAGAGGACCCTGACGGGAAAAGGCGTTCTTGAGTCAGTGAGCGGTGTTAGGCCAATGCGGCCCGGTTTCTTCTAAGAGAGGATTCAGGATGATAGGATGGTGGCGAACCCCCCCCGGTCCAGGACCCGCTTTCCGTCACGGTTTGTACCTTCATGATATTTTTCTTTGTCCGCTCGGCGTTTTCACAAAGAGTTTCACGTCTTTGCAAACACCACCAGACGTGCCGGCAGGGCGGGGTGGGCCCCGCGAGTTTTCCGTTGGATACCTCTTTCTTGGTCCACAATTCTGAGACTTGCTACCTCCAGCAGCACGTGGAGGGGGCGGGCCGTACTTGAAATGCTGATTCTCGCCCCAGCGCCACGCACATTCGACCCGAACGTTGCCAACAGGTACACAGATGGATTGGGGATCGAAGCCTGCATGTTGTTCTTGCCCACGCGCCGCGCACTTACGTATCACAGTGTCCCAACCGCTACACAGGCGGAGGCGGGGTCGTTTTCGATGCGCTTCTCGGCAGATCGTTGTGCGCATCCGCCTTGACAGATTCCGACAGTCAAGTGGGTGAAAGACGGTTCATTTTCAATTGGGGTATGGTTTGAAAGTACCGTAGCGGTTGCGGTAATAAACGCTAACATGCTCTGTAGCCGCACGGATGCAAAGTGGCCCTCTTGTCCCCAATCAATGCTTGCATTGGCGGGTTATCACTTGGGGGTTTCGCAACCTTGCCGCCCGTCGCCGCTCGTGGGCTCTGCGTGGGCGCCCCGTGTGCCGTGTGTGTGTGTGTGTGTGTGTGCGTGTGTGTGTGTATGTGTGAATGTGTGCGTGTGTGTGTGAATGTGTGTGTGTGAGTGTGTGTGTGTGTGTGTGTGTGTGTTTCGCGCGGCCGCGTTCGCTGGTTTACGACTTTCTCCGCCCTGTCGCCGCGCGCAGGGTCGCGACGCCCAAAGTGTGTGTGTGTGTGTGCATCAGGGTTCTGCCACGTTGCCACCCGTCGCCGCTCGTGGGTGTTTCGTGGGCGCCTCGTGTGCCCGATGGCACCCGTTTACTGCCCTTCGCCGATCGAAGGTGCTTTGTGGGCGTTTTGTGTTCCAGATCGGTGTGTCGGGGTTTCGCTACGTTTCCGCCCGTCGCCGTTCGCAAGCAGCGACTTCATGATTATGATGATTGTTGTTATGATTGTTCATGATTATGGTGATGTGTTATTAGTAGTGGTAGCCTTATCATTCTGATTATTAGTAATCGTAGTCGTAGTCGTAGTAGTAGTAGTAGTAGTAGTAGTAGTAGTAGTAGTAGTAGTAGTAGTAGTAGTAGTAGTAGTAGTAGTAGTAGTAGTAGTAGTAGTCGTAGTAGTAGTAGTAGTAGTAGTAGCAGTAGTAGTAGTAGTAGTAGTAGTAGTAGTAGTAGTAGTATCGTAGTCGTAGTAGTCGTAGTCGTAGTAGTGTAGTAGTCGTAGTCGTAGTCGTAGTAGTAGTAGTATAGTAGTAAGTAGTAGTAGTAGTAGTAGTAGTAGTAGTAGTAGTAAGTAGTAATAGTAGTAGTAGTAGTAGTAGGAAGTAGGAGTAGGAGTAGGAGTATAGTAGTCGTAGTAGCAGTAGTCGTAGTAGTAGTAAGTATAGTAGTAGTAGTAGTAGTAGTAGTAGTAGTAGTAGTAGTAGTAGTAGTAGTAGTAGTAGTAGTAGGAGTAGGAGTAGGAGTAGGAGTAGGAGTAGGAGTAGGAGTAGGAGTAGGAGTAGTAGCGTTTGTACCATTAACATTAGCACTATTGTTATGATATTCTGTATTATTATATCAGTATGGCATTACCAGTAGTATATTGATTATTGATGATGTGTTGTACCATTCGTATTGCAACTGTGATCATTATTACTGTTATTATGTTAGTGCGCGCGCGGGAATGTTGGGTTACATTTTGCGGGTGTCGTGCCCAGGCTTGAGCTCACAGCGTTGCCCTCAACAGCCGACCAGGCTCGTGCATCGAATGGCAGTTTTTTCTCGCCCGATGTCAGTCACGTCATCCCAGTCTGCAATCCTCGCCTGGATCGCTTTGATTGCCACCTCACTCTCTGGCTTGCTGACCGGGTCCCCCGCCGGGCGGGCGCGCCGCCGTTCCCTGGGCATGCGGCGGCCGCGGAGACGTGCTTGGAACCGCCGCCGTCAGGGTGTTCCTGCGAGTGCGCTTGCTTCGCCCCCCCTGCGCTCGCTGAGCCCGACGCCCCCGCCGCCGACGCCGAGTCCGGCCCCCGCGGCCTTTGAGGCGGCCGCGCCTCCGCCCCTGAGGTGGGGAGGCGCCCGGGGCCTGGTTGTGCCAGGCCAGGCCGGGGCCGCGATCTCGGTGATTTTCGGCGTGTGCGTGGTGATCTACTGTTGCAGACGTCGGCGGCCATCCGAGGACCGCTCGCCGCGGGTGATCGCGAATGGAACACGAATGGCCGCCTGGGACGCAGCAGCTCGTATCCTTCGCCGCTGATGCCGGGTATCGTCACGAGCGCATCGTGATTTGGCCTTGTCGCGTAGGTTCATGGATCGTGTACGCGGCGGGTGGCGACTTGTATGTGAAGGATGAGAAGGACTGGGTGAACGTGTACCGCATGGTGGCCGGCCAGCCGCCGAGGTCGTTGCCAGACGACGGAGCCAAAACCGTGGCCTTCGGGCGGGCGCCGCCGGACGCGGTCCGCGCTGCTGTCTCGTCGCGCGCCGACGTTCTTCGATTCGGAGGACGGCCGCCAGTATTCGTTCGGGCGACACCGGGTGCAGGACCGTGGCACGGGACGGCTGGCGCGGCAGCGGCCGCCCCCGGCGCGGGGCCCCCAGCGATTGGCGCCGTCGGCAGCGACGCGGGGGGCGACGACGCTGGCGCTCGCCTGGCTCCACTCCCCGCGGCGACAGGTGCGCGTAACGGATCGCCTAACCCGGGCGCGGGCGCGCTCGCCGCTGGCGATTAGCGGCGCCGCTGGGTGGTGAGCGATCTGGGCCTAGCGTGGGGGCTGGGCACCCAGTGCCTCACGGCCGCTCTCTGCGAGGCTCGTGGACCGCGGCGTCGCCTACATCAACGGCGAGACGGTGCCCGTGCAGCTCGTGCCCGAGACGGAGGTCGACCAGCATGCTGCCGTGAAGGCCTCGGCTTACGCGCTGTCCGTGCGCGACGCCGACGGCGCGCCCGCCGACTTCGGGCGCTTGGCATCGTGCCGGCCCAGCAGCGCCGCGAGGCGCGCGCCTCCGCCCCTGAGCCTCAGACCGCAGAGGAGCCTGGCGACGTCCGCACTCTGTGGATGGACATAGGTTCAAGAGCTGGCGCGACGTGGTTGCCGAAAGCTATCCCACGACATTCTCGGTCAGCCCGGCAGGGATGGTAGGGGGGGCCTTCGAGTGCGACGTACACCCTCGGGCACTCCGATCGTCGCGGAGGTAGCACTCGGCTGTGCTTAGAGATCTGGGCTCGTTCGGAGGTCATAGGCGCTGGCGAGAGGGTCTATCATGTTTTGTCCGTCTGGGTGGAGGCGATCCACGTGGGAGGCGCTCACGGTCACCTCGACGTGCTGCCCCCCGTGAGCTTCGATATCGAAGCCCGCGGGATTCAGATCATCGTCGACGCCGAACCAGTCGACCCTCCCCAGCCCCAGTGGGCCAACGCTCGTCTCCACTCGGGCGCAGGCTCGGACTGGGACGCGGTCGCGCCCGAGCTACAGCTCAGCATTACGTAGCGAAGAAGGCGAATCGCGGGCGAGGACGTCCTCTCTCGCGGCCGATGCCGTCGCTGCTGGAGGACTGCTTGGAACGGGCGCAGGCGCGGGAGCTGTCGCCCCGAAGGGCCAGCCTCCGAAGGGCACGCCCAGGAGGGGCCCTAGAGGTGGCCAGGGCGCCGTTGGGGCGGGCCCCATAGGAGGTGCGACGCCCAGCAGTGGAGCTGGCCCCCCCGCTGCCGCTCGCCGCCCTGGGCTCGCGCTTGGATCCGCCGAGATTTCCCCGCTCCCCGACGACCTGTCGACTATTTCGGGTCGTTGGAGCCACCTTCGGGATCGTGCCCAGCGTCGGTTTGTGAGGGAATGGCGGCGCTGCGCGCGATCCCTCAATTCATGTTGGGGCTCTCTGCGTCACCCATTGGGAAGTCGAGCTCTGGTTGAAGTTCTCCCGCGCCGTCTTCAGCTTCGACGGGAGGTTCTCAAGCGAGTCGCTCGGTGCGCCCTGCTATGCGGCGGCCCGCCTCCCGATCTCAATCCGGCGGAGGCCTTCTGGGGGCTGCTTCGAAACCGCGGGGCCTACGGCGCCGAGGCGGCCTGCGCCGCCCTGGCATCCTGCCGACGCGGCGCGGCGTCTCCCCCTGATGATTTCACGACGGCCCCGGCAGTCCGTGATTTGGTTACAGGCCACGCTCTCGAGCATCTGGTAGAGACAGAGGAGCAAATGATCAGGGCCGCGGATGAGGTCCAGCTCGACGCGAGACCCACGGTGAGATTTAACTCTAGTCGGCGCTCACCAGTGCCAAGGTAGCGCTCCGTGCTTGGTGGGGGCGATACCTTTGGGTGGACTGCCCCCTAGGGCGGCTGACGGACACTGATTTTCAATGGGGATTACAACACGAATCGCGCCCCAATCTGAATCGCACAGGACACGGGCGGCGAGGAGAAAGAGACAAACAATGAGGCCGGAGGGGCGGTGAGGAGGAGGAGGAGGAGGAGGAGGAGAGAGGAGGAGGGAGGAGGAGGAGGAGGAGAGGAGAGGGAGGAGGAGGAGGAGGAGGAGGGAGGAGGAGGATGAGGAGGAGGAGGAGGAGGAGGAGGAGGAGGAGGAGGGGGAGGGGGAGGGGGAGGGGGAGGGGGAGGGGAGGGGAGGGGGAGGGGAGGGGGAGGGGGAGGGGAGGGGGGGGAGGGGGAGGGGGGGGGAGGGGGAGGGGG